GGAACTTTTGCAAGTGCTAAGAGCTTAGTTTTCGGGTTCTGGGTCCTCCGGAAGGTACATATAATGGCTTGAAAACCCGACATGCAGGGCTTCTACGATCTTCAATACATATTCTTTTTTCCTTTCAGGTGCAGGTCTCCTCGTAACATAACATCACCAAAGGGAGATTTGCAGGACTGGAAAGGGAAGGCGTTGCGCATGGGCCGGTGGTCCCTCATTGCCTGTAGATTGAAATGCTGAACCAAAGCACGAAAATCACCATGCAGCGGATGCCACCTTTGGATGAAATCACTTCATTGATAACCACCTCTTTCAGCATCCAATCGGTTCTCCTGCTGTACATGTTCCATAAACTGTATCATAACCTAATATAGGCGAATTTAGATCCAAAAGGTTTATGGATGATTGTATGTGGTTAATCTCGACGATTAGTACCAATTCCATGTTTAATCATTCTTGTGAGTAGAAGCTACTCTATGGGGAATGTGTATCTAACATCCCTCAATACATATAACTTTGACGGCCTTTTCCTTGAGAAATCGTTAATGTATTGTATAGCCAAGTTTCTGCCAAAACCGATTTGCTGTTTATTATAGATTGGTGGAACCAGCCAACCAGGACCTAATTTTTTTTATGAATATGCAGCCACCGCCACTGCCTATTGATTATGATCCATGCCTGCGGGGAAATTAACAGGAGCAATTATCATGATACATCATTAAATGTACATGATCAATACGAAATGGTAAAGGGTAAAAAAAAGGGGACCGCAGGTTTTTCATTCTAAAGTTTGATGCAAGCATCGTTAACATGCCAAAATGCTCTCAAATGGCGGAGGAAAACATGCCCAAGAAAGCTATTCAAATAGACTCCCAAGAACTACACATCTATCTACTCACAGGTTCTTGTCGAACACAATTTCAGATCTGTATTTCTCCCAGTACCTTATCTCGTAAAATTCTGTGCAACCATCTCTTCAACCCAAGTGATCAGTGCTTTCTCTTTGTCGAGTCTCTGTTACGAAACTCATAAAAGCTCTCTATCACAAAGGAACTACAATAGCAGACAAGTTATCATGACTCCCTTTCTCATATGCAATTGTTATTATACACTCTGCCAGCGATTCAGAAAACATGCATGAAAGCGGAAGCTTTGATTCTTCTCTCCTTTCAGGAATTAAGTTCCATTCAAATATCAGCTCAGCTACATCTTGTGGTTTCAAGCTCTCAAATATACCATCAGATGCTACCACCAAGTAGCTATCATTAGCAGTTAAAACTCTCCAACCTGTAAACTCAGGCTCGGCTATAACACCAAACCTACAACACCGGAGGAAGCGCATTCTGAATTAGAAGAGATCCGATCTCGTTTTTTAAAGAGAAACTTGAAGAACAAAGCAAAAATGGTGGATAAACTTGATTTACAATCTTAACCAAGTTCGAAATTCACCTTTTCAAGGCTACATCACCAATGGACCGAGACATGGCAAGCACTCCATTCACTCTAGGCACACCCCATACAATAACAGAACCACCAGCTGTTTTAATTCTTGCTTTCTCATCTTCCCTATCTGGGTGATGATCATACGTCAGTTCTGTAGCTGAAAGATTTACTCTTGAATCACCTGTTTAATTACATTTGAACATCAAGCCAGTCATGTCACTTGTTAATTACACCAAGAAATACTGTAAACCCAGGTGCAGGAAATTTGCAAAAAACCCACAGACCAGAAGGGATTTTCTCTGACATGAGAAGAGCCTTGGAATCACCAACATTGGCAACTAAAATCTGCCCATCATACAAAAGAACCACATTGGCAGTAGAGCCTGAGAAATAGCCATTTTTAATAGCCTCCTGTAGAAAGAAACCACGTAAACAATTAGTCTCAAAACAAAACCTTAATGAAAGAAAGCAGCTAAATTACAATCGCTTTCTTGCCTGAGTAAACTTAAGATCAATGTCAAAAATTGTCTTCAACAATGATTCTCTTAAAATCCCCAATTTATTGGCTTTATAGTCACTCAAAGGCATCTCTCCTTTGTATATTCCCATTAGCTTATACGACAGAAACACAAGGTGCACCTTAAAGTAATCAAACAAAAGTTTTGACCCCATCTCACTCGCTTCTTTACCACCATGCCCATCAAAAACTGCTACAATACCAACTGTATCCAATTCAAAATCAAGATGAGAGTTGTTCTTTAGCAAGGGTAGTTTCATATCAAGATTGCACACTACACGGTCTTCTTGATACTCCCTGCGTCCTTGGAGGGTGGCGAACTGGCAGTTCTTGATATTCTGATTTTGAAGAGACCCATTAGAGAGAACCCATGGCGGACACTCTTGAGACTCATAAACTGCAGGGGCACCACCATTATCGTAATCTATCATACATGACACTGATAACCCATGAGAAGATTGAATGGGATTGATTAAAAAAAGTACAAATGGTATTGAAAAAGATGTAATCTTGAATCTGCCCATTAATCCAAGTTTGGTGAAAGTTCTGCAGAAAGCTAAAATTTTCTTATAAAACATGTGATGAGCCCTAGATTTCAAAGTAGCAAAAAATAAAAATAAATTGCAAGCTAGGAAGTGCTGAGATGGGCAAGTTTTGACGTCACCGAGTTAATGGCCACGGTTAGGGATGACCACGCATACCTAGAATTTCTATTGTATTTATGCACCATCCATTATAAATAATATATAAAAATTAAACATTTATATTTTATTTATGGAGATTCCAATATTTAAATATTTTTATTATTTGAGTTTTATTTATTATTATATATATTATTTATTATTTATTGAATAAAATATATCTAAAAAACCTCACTTGCACATTAATTGCTCTCCCGAGGTGGAGAAGGAGATAAAAAAAAAAGGATAAAATTATATTTGATTATGATGATTAAGATATATATTATCGGTAACCAATAAAGTATTGGTCTAACAGTTAAGATACTGCTATATCTTTACAAGGATAAGAACACAGGTTTAATTTCCAGAAAATACATTTATTGAAAGGGGTAACCACATATTCTAAACAGGACTAGTCTCATCTTTTAAAAAGGGTGTGAAGATACTTGAATAAAAACAAAAAAATATATGTATTATTGTCAAACTTTTTTATATATATATATATATATATAGTTTATAATGAATGTTGAAATTAATAATATTATAATAATCATAGATACAAAACCAGAATCGACTTGACGAGTTGACTCAGAATTTGGTTGATTTGAGACCTGAACTAGTCTAAGTTTAAGAAAAATAGTGAAAGTGAAATGATTGACTTGATGCAATCCAATTAAAAACCCAAGTTAATCAGGGATAAAATACAGGTAAAAAACTTATTGATATTTTTGAAAAAAATATTCGAAATGAGATTGCTTTGATTATTTCTTTAAAAATTCTAGGTCAATTAGATTGATTTTCCTAACTCATGACCTTAACTTCGCCTCGAGTTAATTCCGGAGTCGAGTTTTAAAATTATGATGATAATTATTTTTATCACTTAAGTCAATTTGTGTTGATCTTTTCGACTTGTAATTTGGGTCTTGTCCTAGACGACTCCTGAATTGGTTTTTTAAATTATGATAATAATTATTTTTATCTTTACATTGATATAGGTTAACCCTCTTGATCTGTGACCTGATTTTTGCTATAGGTTACTCCTGAATCAAGTTTTAAAAATATAACAATAACAAATTTTATTTTTTTGTTAACCTTGATCAACTTGAGTTGACTCTCCTGACACATGACCTGAGCTTTGTTCGAGACCGACTCTAGAATTGAGTTTTAAAATTATGATAATAATTAATTTTATTCTTACATTAACTCGGGTTAACCGATTCATGATTTGAGCCTCGGTTAGTGATCTAAGATTTGTTTAGGATCAATCCTCGAATTGAGTTTTAAAATTATAATAATAATTATTTTTATTTTTATATGTCTTAGTTAAACAATTTTGAAATCGAAACTTTTTTACAAGGATATTTTAGGAATAAATATTTTTTTTACATGTTCTCTCCGCACCTCATGTTTTTTAAATACAAAAATTCACTCTAAAATTATTAAAAAAACAAATTTATTTTCATTTCTTTTTCTCTTCAATTAAACATATTTTTATTTTTATTGTTTCTATCTCTTCTATGTTTCAAGATAATAACCGAATATTACCCGGTAGCTATAAGTAATTACCCAAACAAATATCCTAGGTTTTTAGAGGCATTTTCAATTTACCTACCTAAAATAGAAAACGCTTACCCAACCATTTAAAGTTTTACTTTTAGGCTTCTGTTTTTGTATGTTAGAAAACTTACAGGCCAAATGTCTAAGGGTCACAGCTGTAATTATCTTTTATGTGATGGCGATACATGCTGTTAAGATGCAAGATGCTTTTATATATACTATATAGATTTAAAAATCCAAAAACTTCAACATTTCCTTTTGTAACTCTTAACTTTCAAGTGGCTTTAGAAAAACATTTTTCTCTTTCGGGCCGTTTTGGATTTTAGATTAAAAAACTCGGAAGAAAGGCCCAAAGCATGAGTCTCAAAATAAGATATAAAGTGTCCCTGACAGTTCAATGCCAACAAAATTCAATGCTAGTGAACATCTGCACCTCGTGGTCTGCTTTTCTGTTTCCTAAGAGGTTCACTATTGCGATAACGAGGTAAGGCGCTCACATCTCTTGCATTCTCATGAGAAAGGAGGAAAAGCTCATAAATGAACATCAATAATGGACCCACACTGTCGATGACTGCTACATGTATGTGCCTGTCATCCATGCAGCATCATGCGTTGAGATTTTTCTTGGGTTCCACAAGGCTTTTATCTTTCATTTCTGTGTGGAAGTCGGAAGATGTCACAACGTTTGAAATTGGAGAAAGATAGCGTTAAAACCATTGCTTCCTTGAATTCCTTCATAGACTACCCTTTTTTGGTTCCTATGCCATAATGGAGAGAAGAACAAGGATATTTTAAGATATTGATTAAATCAAATTACAAAAATGTAAAAGCATTAATTACTAAAAAAAAAGAAAAAAAAATGTGACACGGACGTTAACATGCTTGGTAGTATTATATGCATTCGATGATTCTGGGTCCTTGTGAATTCAGGGCTCATGGCTGTTCACTCTGTTATGAAGTTCCAGCATCTCTCGATGGTTTGGGTCCACAGAGAGAGCAGCACGGCAGTCACGTAGAGCAGCCAATACATCACCAGTGTGCTCATGAAAAGCAGCCCGCAAGTGTAGAAGGTGAAGGTCTGCTTTGAATACAATTGCCCTCGATAGTTCAGCAATGGCTTCTTTCTCCTTGTGGCTGTCCATTAACACTGCCCAACAAATAGCACAATGCAGCTTCAGTATCAATGAGCTTTGAGATGAATGATATTTAAAAAAAAAAAAAAAACCTTTCTTTCAAGCTCAGTTCTACATCCCAAACTAATTGTGGTACTCTGTTTTATTCAACAGTACATGGGGTGGGGTTGCATCAGACCTGCAGCTCGGTATCTGTAAGGGTATACTCGAAGGGGGTCTAATCGCGTAACCATCTCAAGGTCTGCTTTCGTAAGTTCCCGATCACAATACTCCGACCTCTTCTCATAGGCAGATGCATTGTTTTGGGCTTTCTCAATCAGTTTCGTCATTTCCTCATATGCAGCAGTCTTTTCATTTCTTAGGAAATGTACTCGAGCAAGTCCTTGGTGTGCTCTGGTATGCATGATCTTAAGGGCATTGATGTAACAATCAGCTGCCAAGTCTAATTTCCCACAGTCGACATAGACACTTCCAAGATTGTTGAGTGCCTAATAAATAAAGTTTCAAGAACTAAAATATTAGCACAGACTTGCTTACATAAATTAGACCTTAACATATTGCAGAATGCAATGATAAATGATAAGTGATTCATCATTCTACCCACAAAACTACCAACACATAAGGGTGCTCTAGGCTCATGTACAGTGGCTTCTCCACGGTCAAACATATTGGAAACAGTGAAAACAAACCAAACTTCTAAGAAACAGCACAACAGCGCTTCACCAGTTATTGAGTACTTTTCCAACGAGGGCCACCCCAGAATGAACTGCAGGAGTTCATAATTATACGACTCTCATTTTGAGATACAAAATAGTTTATCTAAAACAGAGTTTAAAAACAGAGGCACATGAATCTGCACTTCAATACATGTTATGCACCCAAAAAATGACCACCACTCCATGAATTCTTTTTAGTTTTTTAGGTTTTTTTTTTAAATGAATACCACTCCAAGGATTCTAACCAGCCTCATATGTGACCTTCCAAAGTTTGACATTTTCCAAGCAGACTTTAGGAAGCAATTTCTTTGCAGTAATTTATTAAGGCAGAATACCTAAATCATGTCTAGTTAGCGTGTTTACTTTTTGGACTTTCAGGACCATGCTGTCTCAAATACCTTGGAGCATCAGTAACTACCAGTTAAGTCACCACTGTATATACTTTGATTGAACTGCTGCGCTGCTCTATCACCAACCAATCATGTGTAGCCAATCGTAACACATTTCACTCTATCACCTACCAATCAATAGTAGCCAATCATAGCAGAATCTGCCCAGTCACCAAAAATGATCTGCTGCAATGTTTTTGACACAAGCACAAGATTTTTTGTTCTTTCTCTAATTGTTTCTCTTTTTATAAATCAATAAGACCTGCCGTAGGTATTAACACCAGAAAACCTTGACAAAAACTACACTAGTGTAATTGATTAAAGTTGCTAATGACTGCTACCAAATGCCAGCAATTCCCATTTCAAAGAAAAACTAGGGGACAGGAAAACCATACCTGGCCTTTGCGCAATCTGTCCGAAGGGCACTTGAGAGCTTCTTCAAGCAAGGAAATAACAGTTGAAGAGCAAGATGGATCCAGACTGGAGTCAGCCAATGCGTAGGCTTTAAGGAAGAAGGCCTCAAATGACTTCTTGATGTTGATAGACTCCTCAGCTTTTTGAAGCCCTTCATTGCAATGACCCGTATCATACAAGATCCAACCTTCATAAACTAGACGTTCATGTTCAGTTGATGCATGTTGACGGGCTAATTGTAAACTCCGCATGGCTGCCTCAGGACAGTTCAACCTGATCATGTTCAGATAGGGTTTATTGGCAATCCTAGTCAACCATAATCTTACTAACCTCCAATATAGAAACTGTATACAAGTGAACATTGTGCTATAAGGAATTATAAGCCATACCCACTGTGAAAAGTACATCTTGTCAAGAAAATTAAAGAAACATGTTTTGGAGAAAAGAATGCTGAGTAAAGAAAATAAGCTTATAGACTGATTCTCATTATTGACAACATAATTAGACAAAAATAGAAAGGAGAAGGAAACCATAGGCTGTCCCTCTGTCACAATGTTCGGATATTGTTCACTAGGTGCATTCATTTAGAGGTTGCATATCCCGTAAGGTAGGGGACACACATGATAGCTATCTCGTCAACAAAGTCTGAACCCTGGAAATTATTTTAAGCAGCAATGCCTGTAAACTATTAAAATTTAAGAGCATACCTAAGGAGAAGCAAAGACTGCCTGAAATATAGAACACCTTTGGCTGCATCAGATTCAAGCATCTGGTATATGACTGAGAGGGACCCTGTATCATCAACTGAAGACCACCTATCATACAATTGCAGCCAACAATCTGCTGTTGTCCAATTCTCAACATGCTCACGCACAAGGGTACGGAGTTGGGATGCTGCCACCCGTCCCTCAAACATCCTATAATCAGGGGAGAGCGTGAGAATTGCCTGAACATCACAAATTGCTGCTTGATAATTCTCAAGAGCTAGATAGAAACAGAACCGGAGCTCCAAGCATTCTAATGCGAGTTTAAAACCAAGAATTCTATTGATTTCTGCAAGTGCAGCTTGAACATTCTGTCTCCTCATCAAAGCAGCAGCCCGATACATGTAGGGGTAAGTTAGGGTTGGGTCCAGCTCAGTTGCTTTTTCAAGGTCTTCCCACCTCTTATCACCCTCACAACACAAGGACCTCTCCAGGTACATCCATCCAAGTGGAGTACCAGATGAAATCACAGAACTGAGCTTGTCAAAAGCCCAAAGCCTGTGACCTCTGATGCGACCCAGCCTAGCCAAGCCTGATACAGAATATATATGGCCAGCATCCAAAGCTGCCTTGAAAAGACGCTCAGCTTCATCATACTCTTTCCTCAAGAGCCGTACACATCCCAATTGATGAAAAGCCAACAGCTTCTGTCGGTTAGTTTCTGCTGACCCTACCAACTGATCCAGAAAACAAGCTGTTTTATCGGACTGTGGATCAAGGTTCATAGCAACTTCACTTAATAAACAATATAATGAAAATGAGGCTGGCCCAACCATGATCATTTTCTCTTGTTTATTAGCATGGCTAAAAATTTCCACTACCCGATCATCGTTCAAGCAATCAGGTAAATCCTGTAAGAAAACTTGTAAACATGATGCAGCAAGGACAGGAGAGTTCTCTTCAAGGGCACATTCCATGAGCTCTACAGCATCATCTCTGGAAGACACTAAAGATGCAAGTTTCCTATCGCATGCATCTTTTAGCCTTTCACAACAAAATTTATTTGCAAAAATCAACATTTCTAACAATACATTTGGAGATTCTTCATTCAAACTACCAGTTATGCTGAACTCGCTTATTGCCCTAAAACCCAGAGGCGATATGTTGTTTTCAGATAAATCTATGTGTTCACAAAGTGACTCAGAGAAACATCCATTAAGCATGGCATGAAATGGTGCAGAAAGGCTGGCAATTTTCTGTCTGTCACAAACTATTTTCTCATCTCCAATTTTAAAAGAGACACTTCTTAAAATATGGCTGCCATTCATCATTGAAGCTGTCTCACGGGAACTTGAACTTGTATCAATATCAAGGTCGGAGGAAACATCTATTGGACCGGACTCTTGTGCGCATTTACCACATGTGACAAGCAAATCCGAAATAAGCTCCTCTCCTTGTCTCTCAAACTTTAACCATGCCCCAAATACAAGCTTCTCATGCACAGTGCTGCCCTTCAGCCAAGCTGAGCGGAGACTTCTTCGCATCAATTTGGCTTCACCAAGGCCTTTAAACAGTTGATATTGAAATAAATAGAGATTTGACCTCTCTTGCGGAGAACAGGATTCAAGTTCTTCATGAATCTGAGCTAAAACTTCTACATAATCACCAGGTTTAAAGAATGGTTGCACAGGTGGTTCAGGGACCTTGATAAATGATTCTCTAATTAACCCAACAAGAAAAGGAAATCTCAATCTATTGAAATCAAATACAAAAACTTTAACATTTTTTAGTTATGGAAACCACAACAGATGTAAAGAAAAACTTACATGGATGGTGAAGAAGAAGTAGGAGAGGTAGAAGACTGGAAGGATAATTTGGAAAGCTTCCCTCTTTCAACTTGAAGCCATGACTGTGGATTTAAGGAATTGAGCTGTGATTCTTTACAGGACTCAGAGGTAAAGGAAGACCTCATGGGGCTATAAGCAAGTCCCAGATCTCCACAGTAGTCAGATAGGTATTATCCCCACTCTTTCTAATTTCTCTCCCTCTCTCTCCCCCTCGTCCTCCGCAGGTGAAATGAACCTAAGATTTGGCAATACAAAGCAAACAAATATAAAGCCTAAACTGTTGCTTGTGAACACACATCACTACACTTAGCTGATAGATCTTCCAACCCCACAGAACAACAATTCCTATCTAAATAACAGTTCACAAAATTACAAAACAACAGGCTACCTATCGCGTGGAAAAGGTTTCACTGAATAAGTAAATACAAACCAAAAAAGGGAGGTTTTATGGCAATCACAATCTTACAGATCCCTCTTGGGTTGGCTCAAATCCACAGGTACAGAAAGAAAATAACTTCAAATCTAATCTTCAATTACACAACAAAAATCCTCAGTCACCTTCAACAAGAAAATGAAAGAGAGCAGAAAAAGACGTAAGACCCACCCACCAACAACTACCTTAATTTCTCTACCAAAAAAGGCAAACCAAACCCAACCCACTTCGTATCCCTAAAAATAAACACAAAATGAGAAACTAGAACAAGGAATAGTTGACAATAAAATGAGAAGAGGAGAGTGACGCAGGTGAACTCTAGTGGCTTTGAATTTGAAGAGGGAAACCAGAGATTGAACGAACAAAAGCTGAGGAAGTTGCAAAGTGATCAAAGCGAAGGAATCCAAAGGGAAAAAATTCTCAATTCCCACTTTTGATAACTCGTTTTTGTTCGGTTAAAGTTGAAAGTTTTTTCCTTTTTCTGCTTTCTCTCTCTCTCTCTCTCTAAATTTTGTTGTCGTTTGAAACCGGAGAGAAATTTTTGTAGCTTGGAAGCACAAAAACTAATGGGAAAATCGAAAAAATTATATATATAAATTATAAAAAATGTAAATAATTTATTTTTAAGGATTTCGATAATTTGGACATAATTAACAGGGTAATCGACGTCGTATGATAAAATATTATTTTCTTTAAAAAATTATTTATCGAGAAAGGCATGCTATTACAGAACAGCAGCTTTGGCATCTTGTAGTTGAGATTGTCTAGATGACAACAATTATTGTGGGGTCGTTTTGAATTTATTGGGTGATTGAATTATGGTTAATCGGAAATTAAGTAAAGGCAGAGCAAATATTCTGTGCGACACTCACACCGAACACAGAGCTATACTTTATTTTTTCCCTGAACCATAGCCGGTTACCAAGTGGTAGTTCTTCACAAATCGAAATGTAATCTGAAACAAAAGGTGTTTTTCTTTTGGGTCGACAACAGGGCACAAAGTATATCACCGTCTCGGAAGCTTTTCAAGAATCTTAAATATTTTGTTGTTGTTTTAATATTTTTTTTAAAATATTTTTATATATTAATGTTAAAAATAAATTTTAAAAAATAAAAAAAATATGTTATTTAATATATTTTCAAATAAAAATTATTTTAAAATATAATATTTATCGTTTTCTCATACTAATTTTTCAAAATAATAAGGATTCTTTTGTTGAATGTTCACAGCTAGTGCTAGATTCAATTTGAAATCAATCTAGGATTTTACTTATTATGTAATTTAGTTATTTTTATGTTTAATCTTTTTAATTTTTAAAATTATGGTTTAATTATTCTAACTTTGTTGTGCCTGGTTTATACACTAAATCATCCTATAATATATTTTAAAAATAATTAAATCATAAAATAATTAGGATTATTTTTCCACTCACAATACTAGATTTAATAAAAACAAGGTCGTTTTGTTTTTTAATAAAATTCTTAATACTGGCTCAGTCCTGTTTGATTGATAAACCAAATCATGTAATAATTTGGACAAGTGTATCCTTTTCAATTCAAATCAAGTTACAAATTTTCCGAGTTAACTCAGGAAGTTGGACTGTGCTTAAGGGAAAGCTAATACCTCCTCGTAATTGTTGTAAACGTAGGTACGAGCGGTTTACATCGAAGAGTCTCCCGTTGGAATTAAGAAACAATCACCAGCACATGCTCCTTCTTACAACTGGAGAGTGGCAAACCACACTATCCCCCACTTCTCTTCTCTTCTCTTATACTGCTACGATTTGATTGGTCGTTGAATGCCAACTGCCCAACCCCAATCCTGTTCTGTGGCTTGTAATTGTGGGTTTACCAGTAAGCATTTCAGTTAACTCCTCCTATTGTTTTTGTTTTAATTCTACTCTCAGGTAAATATTCTCATCTATTCTCAGCTGGTAGAGTTTTAAAAGATCAAAATATTTATTATTTTTGTCTGAATGAAAATAACAGTACAAGTGTTTGTTTTTATGTTTTAGAAGATATTTTTAAAGAAATTTTTTTTTTTAAATTAATATTTTTTTGGTGTTGCTATGTACTAATATAAAAAATAACTTTTAAAAAATAAAAAAATAATTTTAATATATTTTTAAACAAAAAAACACTTTAAAAACTACCCACAACCACCCTCCCAGATAAATTAATATCTTTTTTTAACAAGCTAATGCAACAGCTTTATGTCATCTCCAAATAATCAAATCCTAGCCCTTATAGAAACCTTTGCATTATCGTATACTTCAATCTCAATATCTCGAGCCTACGTTAATTTAAATAATAGCCACCAAACGGTAGAAGTGACACAAAAGAAGAAAAGGATATGACATGATCAAATGATATTCGAAAGCATATCGATTGAATTTTAAAATGATTTTTACTTAAAATATATTAAAATAATATATTTTTTATTTTTAAAAAATTATTTTTATCGTCAACAACAATAACTTAAACGGGATGCCCTGGAAACAACAAACACGCAATCAAGAGAAGAGGGAGCCCCAGTGGTGTAGTGGATTGGCAAGGAGTGACGCGCACAGAAAATTCAAATGCTAATAATATCACCATTGGGTAACTTTAAGGAAATAATTGACCCCCACCACCGATTAATTATATCAAGTGTCATGCACGTATCATCAAGTGTTAAACAGGAAAAAATGAAAAAAGAAAGAATGAAAGGGAAAAAGGCTAAATAGTAGGGTGCGAAAATGCCACGGAGTGGTGGGGACATCACCTAGGAATTATTCTGGATTTGCCACAATGGTTGAAATTTAGACAAATCGTGGGGGCAGTGCGAGGTGGGTTTAGATTCGTTTGCCTTAATGATCATCCAAAAGCATACATCGTCTTCACTCGCTAGGCCAAATGGTCGCCAATCCAGTCACATTTGTTAACCAGAACATCCCTTTCACTTATCCAAATGCCCTACCTTCGGGTCATTCATGGGTCCTCTTCACAACCACTCAAAATCTTCCCTCAAGGTGATATGATGGGCGGACTTGACGTCCCAGTTTCGCGTTCCCTTCATGCCTCAATACTTTAATTCGTCTAATCTGTAAATCAGGACCAGATGCCAATCTTTAGGCATCAATTCAAACTCCATGTTATGTGTATATTTTGCCACAGCTCATAGCTGATCAAGTCTTGCAGGCTCAGACACTTTAAAATGGATACATGCAAGGGTGGACAAGGGTTGATAGATCTTCTCTTCCAATTTGTTTCCTCATTAATAACTTTAAAATGGCCGCAGTTACTACAACAAGCTATTTACCTTATAGTACAAACTCTACTGCCTCGATTGATATCAAAATGGCTCATCGGATAGCGATCGATGAGATTCCTTGCTCAAAAGAAGAAACCGCATGCTGTGCAACAGATTCATCCTACAAGTATTCAGAATTCAGATTTCTGAGACATCTGTAACACCACAATCAGAACTCATCAGTCAAATAGCTTATGAATTAACACCAGGACAATGATTTCACATTACGAATGCAATATATATTAAAAAAACACTCAATTGTCTATAGAGTAATGCTCGTCTGATAAAAAGATTAGTGCATCCAGGCGCTAGCAATTCTTTTCTGTTTCTTTCAGTTAACATGTATTTTCAAAAACACAACAATATGCTGCATCTTTTCCAATCGACACTTCAAGTAAAGAACCACAAGTTGAATTGCAGAAAAATCTTTTGTGCAGATCCTAGAATAAGATGTCATGGTTAACAGGGGCAACTTTTTGAGATTATCAGAGTGAATGTACAGCGAGATTGTTCATAACAGGTGTGGCTAACTCTACATCAAGCATAATATCTTTCCAAGTGAGAGAATCAAAAGCTAACATGACAGGAGTGACCAAATAATTTAATGGGACAGTGTATGTCATATTTTCTAAGAGTTTTGATAGGCAATGCAGTTTCAGATTAGTAATCAGAACACAGCAGGACACATTTTTTCCTCAACACTGAGAGTCAGGGCAGATATTTGTATTCAGGTCACAATTTTTGTTATATAGTGTTAATTTGCTAAAAAAAAAGAAACAGATCTTCAACATTCCAAGCATAAGCACCACGCGTTAATCTGCTTGGAACTCAAGTCAAGACAACAAGATAAATCTGCATCACCTTTGTTGTTAAGGTCAGCTTTGAGGATGCCATTTTTTGCTACATTGTCAACAGAGTTGCATCGGTTAGGCGTTTGGGGAGGCCTGGGTTGGGAAGGAGAGCAGGCATCATTTAGGTTCCAATGATCATTTAAGATTTGATCTCCAACCAGATGGCTTAAGTAGATGTCTAAGCTAGCAGAAGGCACCGCCACCTTTCTCTTGTTCTTGAACCTTCACCTAACAGGGTATGAGCACCAAATAACAAAGAAAAATAGACTGCTTGTACATTTATTTTGTTGCAATGAAAAGTATATGAACAATTTATGATACCTGTCTTTCTTCTTCTCAAAATATCTTTGTAAGGATGCTTTTCTGCTTGTAGAGCCTTCTAAAAAATTTTGAAAGGAAAAAAGGAAGAAGATAAGGAAGAGAAGAGTGGCTATCATACTGAAGGAAAATGGGGCGATGTCATTAATTATTAAACGCTAAACCAAGGAGGCAGATTAGAAAAGGAAAGGAGAATCAACCCAATGCCGACATGATAAGATGGTGCTACCATCAACAAGCGTTGAAATTACACAGGGAATTGAAGTTTCAATAACATCTCACATAATGAATTGGGATGGGGTTCTTGTTTCCACACATAAGTATGATGGAACATAAATAAGTTCAGAAAGATGTGCCACAAAATGTGAAGAGATTTTACTTAAAAATTTGAATCAAATCAATAAGGCAAGACTATGATTAAGATGCTTAACGTGGCAATATATGAGTAAGAGTTTGTGAAAAAAGGTGTGATAGAGATCTACCAATCAAACAAACAGGACTTTTTTATAAGATGACTAGTTTGAGTATTTACCTAGGTTGTCTTCACGAGCTATGTTGCTTTCTTCCAAGAGAAGCTGACCACTATCTGCCCCTTTCACTTAAAGTATAAGCATGACAACTAGTTAATAAAGGTTTGCGCTTCTGGATGAAAATGATTGCCATTTATCCAATAATATAAAAACAAAGCTTTAATTTGTGTGCACGGGTGTGTGGAGCCCTGAAATTCATAAGGAAATGAAACTGAACTCACGTAGGATTTGACTTGCAAACATAACAGTAATCTATAGCATCTAAAAAACACCTTAATACTACTCAATAACCAACCTGTTGGCAGGGTTGCAAAGTTCGCCACAATTGAATTTGGAGCAGCTTTGACACCTGGAGTTTCTAACTGGCATTGTAAAGGCCTTAATGTCGGAATTACATCTGAAGAAGCATCCTGAGGTGGAGCAAATGGGCTTGAAGCAAGATGCATTATTGCTTGCGCCTGCAAACAATCACTTTAGAAGGCCAATGTACTTTATATACACTGCACCGTATTTACAGAAAAGAAAGAGCTTTCATCACCTTGTCTCTCGGTACATCATCATAGACGTTTACCTTCCCACAGTAAAAAATTGTCATCTGTCCTGCTGATTCTTTTGCCATGCCTGTAGTTCTGACATATTAAAACAGATTTTTCAGTTTGTTGAACTTCAGCTACTGGTTTTTACCACAACATAGAGAAGTATCATCCAGGAGATTAAAATAATACTCCACAGTAATGCTAGTTGTGTGAGAGTCAGCTAGCATTACTTAAATCATAATTCGGAACATGAAGATTTCTTCAAAACACCACAATAGACAACGGAGAAGATCCTCTTAGTCCTAGCCAGAACAGCATCTAGCTAAAAGCTACGTCAATAGATCTATCAGCTAGATAATATATTCTCCTACAATGCTGGCAAAAAATTGTCTGCAGACTATATGCCGAAATAATGGCATGTGCTGGCATGCAGACTTCATAAAAGAGTCTCATCCCTAACTATTCTAATCTGACATCAGAATAGTCTCCAACTGATAGCTCAAACTTTCAAAAAAAACCTATACAATTAAGATGTCTAGTTCTATGATCACCATGTTTAGCGCCAACACCCTTTATCAAGCATGTTAATTCAGCTCTTCCGCTCAAATGGTGGCTTACAATAACATGCTATGCACAGAACAAAGTAATTTTATCAGAAAAAAGAAATGTTGATGAAGACGACACGGAAACCCAATAATTTTCTAAGTTCAAACCGATTTGAATCATCATGCTTTCAACTTTAGCCAAGACACAAACAAACATAACTACATTTTACTTCTCGACAACAGTAAAAATGCAATAAAACACCCCACACGTAACCAAAAACTAACAAGCAGGATTATACAAACATTATAGCGCCAAACAAAGTCAACAGTTGAAACACTGTTTTTGACTGCCCATCATGGTCTAGAACAATACATATTAATCCACACCAAAAGCAAGCACACACTATCCACATTTGAGTCAAACATGCCGGCGTTGGCAGTGTAATCATCATCACTTACTTGACTAACAAAATCAATAATAAGGTAATCATCATCACTAACATGACTAACAAAATCAATAATAAGTTTTTGCCCGCAGTAAGGATTTTTTTAAAAGAAAAAAAAAACAACAATAACAAGGCTGTCTTATGCATTACTAGCATAAACAAAAGAAGGAACAACCTCGGAGAAACCGATGCATTCTCGGTGACGGCGGCATGGACAGGAGGCAGAGGATCGGCAGGAACATCGGGATTTGAAGGATCATGTTGCCGGCACGGAACTGGCTCCTCGGCTGGCACCGAGATCGGCGTTTCAGCACTTGCTCCCCTCTCTGAAACAGAGGAATTTGGAGGGACCTACAAATACACATTATATATTCTAATTATAATTAAAAAAAAGAAGAAGACGACGAAGAAGAAGAAGATAAAGTAAAGCAGTCCTTAACCTTTTCATTTATTTAATAAAAATAAAATAGGAAAAGGAAAGACAGAGGGTTTAACGGCAGAGAGACGCACACGAGGAGTCTTATCAGGAGGATGAGGAGGAGGGCGGGGAATGTAGAGTCGTCGCCTTGGAGATTCAGTCTCCGGCGTCGCTTCGAGGAGTGTTTTGAGTGAAATCACTTGCTGTATTGCCTGCGATTTGTTCCACGACGGCCTTCTCATACCTATTTTTTTGTACGGACACCACCACCAACACGGGTTAAAACGACAGAAAACTCAGAAACAATGACTAGCTACTGCTATACGTAAGCTAGAGAGACCTTTTTCTTTGAGGTAACGGCGGCAATCTTCGCGAGTGAGCTGAGAAATATCATCTTCCGTTAGCTGGTGTAGCGGTTTGTCCAGAGCCGACCGGAAAACTGTCTCTCCCGGCTGCATGGTGTTTGATTTTGGGTCCGGTGATCGGTCACCGGAGCTTGCACGGATGGAGGACTTAGTGAGATTTTACACTTTCAAGTGGTATTTTGGTGAATATGTTGTACTTCAAGGGGTGACAAGGTTTTGGGAGAATGGGCAGGAGAGTGAGAGATGCGTGGAGGTAGAGGGGAGGCGTTTCTGTCGCGGCGTCTCACTCTCCAACTTTATTTTTAAAGGGGATTTTAAATTAAATTTGATTTGATTTATTATTTATTCGTGTCATCGATGTACTGCTACCCCAAGTCGCCACGTAACATGGTATGCCTTTTTACCATTGCCCCCACCTATCGCATATTTACGGCAGTAAAAGTTACTCCTCGGGATTTCAAACTAGTCCAACCATATTTTATTTGTAGAGAATTTATCAGAATCTTTAACATGACCGTCAAGATTAATAATTAAGACCGCCATTAACGTTAATATTAGCAAGAAAACTTTAACATTAATAATTCAACATCCGTGGACAGAAAACAACAGAAGAAGAAGAAAAGCCCTTTCTAACAGTATTTTTCAAAAACCTTGAGACTTCACCTTGTCTCTTAGTTTACATTTTATTAATGTTTCAAGGTACAAGAAACATAAATGTGCTATTGAAGTAACGAACACAAAACAAAATATAAATTAATTTTTTTTTTAATTCAAGTGAATTTCAATCTTTTCAAAACAAAAATATAAAAAATTATTTTTAGTATCTTTGTTTTATTTTAAACTCCAAAACCTGACTTTTATTTTGTTTCATTTAAAAATACTTTGAAATATTTTAAAAACCTCAGTAAAAATCTTTTCAAAACTAAAAAAAATAATCTATAATGATTTTGAAATACTAAAATCTAATTAAGTAGAAAATGTTTTTTATAAGTTTTGATTTACTTTTCATGATATATTCAAAATAAAACACTATTTTTATTGAATCACTATCTTTAAGATAAATTCATTGATATTAATATCGATATTTTTTATAGAAAAAATGTGATTTATAAATATTTTCTCTCTCTTCTCTTATGTTTTAGTGGCTTTCTCTCTTTGCTCTGAAAGTTAAAGGGTTGAAACAGAAAATAAATAAAATTTGGGATTGAAATATGAAACCCCAAAAAGCAAGAGCTAAAAAAAAAAAAAGTAAACAACTTTTGGGACTAAATTGTAGTTTATTCATGCTCCTTGAACAATGGAAAAGAAAAAAAATATGTTATAATTGATAATTATTATTGCATTAAATTTTTAATTGAAAAAATTGAATCCTACTTTACAAAATCAAGCATCAATATAATGTTAAGATTTTTTTTTATCACAAATAAAGATTTAGCATGGAAACCAAAATAAATTATTTAGACTAAAATAAGATGAATATCGTATAAAAGGATGAAACTAAAAATTAATATTTAATAATAATCAAATAATTATTAAAAATAAAAAAAATAATCAAGTTAAGCATGCTAGTTAATCCACAATGTCTATGAGCTAGAAGCCATGGAAAAATGAACAATTTTTTAGTATTTTTAGTGGCCAAGATGTTACCAGTCGATTACTTTTTATCTTTTCTTTCAATTTCTAACAACTTTCTCTCATCTTGATTTATAAGGAATAGAATATAAAATAAATGAATTTCAACTCTCTCATCTCAATTCATAAGGATTAGAATATAAAATAAATAAAGTTCATGACTAAAACATGAAACTCTAAAAAAAATTAAAAAAATAAAAAGTTTTAAAAATTAAATTGTAATTTTTAAAAGGTTATTTCACTAAATTTGTAAATTGAGACAATGGAAGGTAACTCATTAAATTCACAAACTGAATCATTGACTCTATAAAATTTAATAACTTAGTTTTTTTAAAATTATTTTTTATTTAACTAAATTTTTTGAAAAGCAAATCATACCACGATGCTGAAACATTTTTTTGATATCAATTTAATATTGAAATATTTTTTTATACCACAATAATCATATAAAAAATAAATTATCAATTTAAATATCCATAGACTCATTATATAAGGACCAAATTAAAAAAAATCAATAACTAAAAAAACTGAGTGAAATGAAAAGAAAAAAATATTATGAATTACTACTGAATCCACGGTATTAACGGGTGTAGAGAATCAATATTTTTTTCACAAATTTTAGCTTTATAATATAATAAAAATTAAATTAAAAAAAATCAATAACTAAAAAAATTAAAATAAAAAAAAAACACAATAATATATATTATTATTGTAATTAACAGCGCAAATAATGGTGAGAAAACAATATTTTTATAACTTTTAACTTTCAAAATATATATATAAAATGTGCTCGTCAGCCGCCAACAATAAAAATAAATAATTTTTTTACTTTTTTTTTTCTAGTGTTTCTAATAATTATAATTATAATGATCCTCCAAATTATCCTACGAGAGGATAAAAAATTGATGGTAAAACAATCGTCAGGCAACTTTATTCTTATTACATCTCTTAAAAGAGAAAAATGCAGTGCTAAGCTAACTAATATATTTATAGGCAAGTGTTTCGTTAAAAATGTAACGAATTGAAATTCAATAAAAATATTTAATCAAATATTAAACGCCCCTTTCACTTAGGCAGATGACATATACTTTTTTCTTTATTTGTTCTTGAATATAGAACACTAATCACTACATGGATTGATTGTACATTTGATCTTTAAACTATCATACTGCTTTATGTTATATACATTAAAATTATTAGTGTTATGTTAAAGAAGACTCCCTGATTTTCAAAATTAACAATTAGTATTAAGTGTGTATTTTAACCTTGATATAAATACAGGGATTAATTATTTTAGTAGAAGTTTATTGTGAAAATGCAAAAAGAAATAGAGGGAAACTTAAAGTTTTAAAAGAGAGAATAATTAATTTTGTAAAGATGGGGCAGAAAATTGAAGAAAGTGAATTTTTATAATGAAAAGGAATGTATCCCCAGGGGCACACAACGCCATGGCCATCCCTTTGAATTGGCCTAGAATCCGAGGCCCGTGAACACCACACGAACGATGGATTTCCCACCTCAACGGATCCAGCACTACTTTCTACTTGTTCGAACCCTAACTTTGCATCCCTTGGACACCAAACTACCTAATTATTAACAAAGTAATATATATATATAACTAGAGTTTTGATAATGGAACTCTTAATAAAATAAAAATATGTTATGGGCTACATATTAGAGAATAATATAAATTATATTTTAGTATCTCACCTAATAACTTAAATTTTTAGGTTGAAATAATTTTTTAATATTATATTAGAGCTTCAATAACCAAATGATTATAAATTTGAAACTCACAATCCTTTTTTATTTAATAAAAATTAAAGTATAAGGTGAAATATATCTATACAAATTTTAAGATAAAAAAACTTTTATTAAAAAAAATATATTAAAAAATAATATAAATTATATTTTATATTTTATCTAATAATTTAAATTTTTAGATTAAAATGATTCTTTATGCATGAATCACAAGTGGCATCCTTCATCCCTGCCAATGATACAAGTTGCAATTTATAGTCAAATTAAATAAAGTGAATATTATCAACTTGACGAAGATTTGAAAGCAGGATCCAGGATTGATGGAATAGGAGAGAGCTAAACTGCTGATCAAACATTAAACCTCATCCACAAGGAGAAAAAACCCTTATTGCATTACCTTCGCCATCCTTGTCTCTGCTATCCTAGTAGAGTTTACTGGTTTAAATTGCAAACTTGAATTTTCCACGTATCTTTCATCTGGTGCTTCATGAATTTTAACGTTTGGATTATGATCTAGCATTCTATAATTAATCCAAGAATGACTAGCATTGCCTTGGACATAAGCTTGACAGACCGATCAAGAGCAGGGTCTGATAATTAGTAGGCATCCATTGGCATCCTCGAGGAACGTAGCTCTAGTGGCTGATTGCTTTCCAGCACATTATAAGATTAATTCCAGTGAACTGAGAGATGCATGTTGCATGCACCAAGACAATTGTAGAGCCGGGTTTTAAAAGAAAAATGCAGGTCCTCTATCAACTGCTAGAGCAATGTCGTTGAGGATGGCTACGGGATGCTTTCCCCATCATGCTAGTAACTGGTGCTTGGTGAACTCAAACAAGTTGATCGCAGAATACTTATGGTTGCTCTGTTGTTGAACTATTCGTAAGCAAAAATATTCATATAAACAAAGGTAATTATAACAAATATACTAAAACCATGGGTGAATTCACTATTTGTCTATTCACCATTAGAGTGTCTAGTACTGTGGTGGTTTTTTTATTCTTCACGTAAAATTTAAATGATAGTTTAACTCAATTTATCATAGAATCAGCTTGCACACAACAATTTAATATTATTATTAAATCATATCATATAAGATTTAATAATAATATCAAATAATTCTTTACGACTTAAATTATTATTTTTAAACTTAAAAAAAAAAAAAAAAAACTTTGAACTGAACGTGTGTGTATATATATATAAGACATGCCCGGCCTGTAAACAAGTCAGATCTACGAGCACTTGGACTGTATATTCTTGGCCATCATTGACTGCTATACATGTGCAACGCTGTGTCTCCTGACTTTGGAATTCTCGCTCTGTAAGCTGCTGGGTTATCCCTGCAGATTGCGACCACCGCCTCCCATGGCAAATCTAAACAAGCTTTTCACATTGATATCCGTAATGAAACTTGTTATTCCAATGGGAAAGAGCCATTTCTTGTCTTCCTCTTTCTTCTTGCTACAAGCATATACGGGCACTCCAACCAGCAATTAGTACTAACGAGTTCTCACAACATGCCCATAAAATCTCTTTATGAAATACAGGTACTGTGCATCTGCCACACAACTTTAAACGAAAACAGCAGCATGGTTCAATGGTGTGATTAAAAGAACAAAATACGTTAATTTTTCTAAGGTGACCCCTACAGGACTTGGATCTCAAGTTCAACAAATTCCTTCTGCATATATATACTCGTGGACCTTCCTCCAGGTTTTCGGACTTCAATCTAGCTTCAGTTTTACTTTCTACGACCGAAAAAACAGATGCATCAACTCGCATGAGAAAAAGAGAGAGAGTATAATTTTGCCTTTTTCTTTTTCAGAAAAGAGACATCTAATATAACTTCCACTATAGAAAACTAAAGCAAAAGGTAGCGATCCTGCATATGCTTTCTTTTTTGTTGCGCAGAGATG